CTTATTACAAACACCTGCTGACTTGACAAGCACAAGCTGGTGTAGAAAACACATTTGAACTTGGTCACAGTTCATTCTGCAACTCCATTGCTGCAGGCAAGGCCATGCTGCAATGATATGCTACATGGCAATGCACACTTGTTTTTACATCGTAAAAACCTATGTCTAGTTACTATTTAGTTTTTTTTACAATAACAAGCTGAAAATGATATAAAAGTAACAACTTTTTACTTCTTGCCTTTATTAAAAATGTAAGGAGTAGAAAGTACAGATAATTGTGTTAGCATTTGAGATGCTAAGCAGGGAATGTGGATGATTGAGGTTCTTTCTAAGACGCATCTTCTGTAATGTTCAGAGTATTGCAAACTTCACTCCAACAGAAAATGTACTTGTTGGGTTTTATTTATTCATTTATTTTGTAATAGTGATAAAAATGACAACATCTGCTGGGTTAAAAAAGGGAATAACAAAAAGAGAAAAAAAACTGAAAAAAACCCAGAAAACTAATGTAGATACAGAAGAGCTTAAAAAAGATAAGATTGACAACAGAATGAAACAAGAACGTTTCTAGAAGGGATTTAAACATAACTCACAACCTTGAAATCAGAAAGATGTACTGATGTATAGAAAAATGTATTATATTTCTGAGTATAAAATATTCTTTCTTTATTTCTTTATTTTTTGTCCAGGAAAGCCAACCTGTCGTTGTCCTGTTGGATTCTCTGGGCCTTTCTGCGAGAAGAGAATTTGTGACACGTACTGTTTAAACGGCGGGACGTGTGACGTCACTCAGGGAAACCAGCCCGTGTGCCGCTGCATGGCAGAATATACCGGAGATCGCTGTCTTTATCGTGAGTTCTGTTCCATGGCTTTGCACCAGGAGACACTCGTGTCATGAGCACCACAGAACATCCACCACAAATATGAACAGTGTTTGCGTGTAATCCCAGAAAACATTGATTTAAATTGGGTTTTTTGCTGCATAAAGTTCACACACAAAAAAACAAAAACTTAAGATGCTTACACTCAGTGTTAAACAATGATAACTGTCAAAAGTATTTTCTTTTCCCTAACACCACGTTTGCTTCAGTTTGCAGATAAACAAAATAGGAATTCTGCCATCAAACAACCTTCGGGTGTTTTTGTACTAGAGCAACCTATTTTTTGTTGCTATGCTATGAAATAATGGGTTGTGGGAAAACACTTTCAGTTGCGCATCATTAGTATTTTCCCACTGTTGCTTGCCCAAGGGGTGATATGTTTTCATCTGTGGCTAAGATGTCATTTGATGTGGATAATTAAGTCCCATTAAAAGCCCTAATACAACCAGCCTCAACTATAAGCTACAAGCTAACCTCACTTCTTGTGTTTCCTAATGTGGAGCAGACATCTGTCATCACTACTGCRTGAACTCGAAGGCCTGCACGTTATCCAGCAGCGGCTACGTGGAGTGCGTGTGTCCTGCCAGGTTCGAAGGGAATAAGTGCGAAGTGGACAAGTGTCTCCGATGCCACGGAGCTCCCTGCCTTATTAACGAGGAAACAGGAGATGTGGTGTGCAAGTAGGTCCTCGCTGTGCTTACAGCATCCCTGTCGCTGCAGCCTGTACATTTCTTGGTCAGTTATAGAGAAGTATCAGTTGCCCAATGTACATATTTCCTATTCAGGTCACAGCTGTTGTACCTACGAGCTACTGGCTGATTTGATTACATCTGAAAAAATGCATTGGTGTACACGCCCAGCATCATTTAAGTGTTGATAATGGCAGTGAATAGAAGCCATATGAAGTGTAGCTCTTTACGTAAATTCAATATTTGCTTATGTATGTATATATATATATATATATATATATATATATATATTATAAATTACTGTGGTAAAGAAAATAACCAAGAACGACCAGTGCAGCCCACTAAACAGAACCGTGCCAGTCTATCAAAATAACATGCCAATCATGTACGTACTATTTTGTCACACATGTTATGTTAAACAATTTGATAGAAATGCTTCACTGAATGAAAAATAAAACGTTTTCCTAAGTACAGGTAAACAGCTGTGAGAAATAAAAGAATAAGTTGTGGTAGTTCTTGCAGTGCTGTTACAGTGAACCCTTTGTTGGAGCTATATCCTGCTCTGAGCCAGTGTTTAAAGCAAAAGAGTATTAGTGGAAATGAGTGACCAAAGATGAGAAAGACAGTGAGATTAAAGCAAACCGGATTTTGTCAAAGCTTCTGCTTAGAGATAAAACATGGACAGAAAGGCAGCTCAGTATCAGTTAGAAAAGCATTTCCAGCTTTATCTAGAAATGCACACATTGTCTTTGAGTTTCAGCTGCTTCAATGCCTTTCACTCTAGTTATCAGAAATTAAATTACTTTTATTTTTTTTCTCTTCAGATGTTATATAGTTAAATCAAAGACAGCTCTCATTATGTGTTTTTATTGCAATGAAGGCTACATGATCTTAATTTTTTCCCTCTATTTGTCAGTCTGGTCTGATTGTGAGCCTTTTATTATTTTTTTATATATATAAATCTTGGTAGGATGCGATTATTGGATATTGAGTACCATCTCACCATGTTTTGTGTTTTTGTAGTGCCAGTAAATGTTCTGATAAACCGTCCCTTCAGCATCCGGCAGCATTTGACATTTCCCAGTGTGATTCTTACACCCCCTCTTATGCTCTACAACTTGGAAGATAATTCAAAGTGAAATGCTTTTTACTTATGTACCATTTTCTACTTGACACATCCTGTTTCCACCCATTATTTTAAGGGCAGTGTCAAGGGAGGAAGAATGCGGTTAGAGGAACCTGTCTGGATAACTATATTTGACATGAAGCCAAGTAAAATGTATTACCACTGAGATGCTAGACCTTTTTCTTTTAAACAATCTGCCCCTATCTCAAGTACTCTACAGTAATTAGGTTGTAAATAGAAATGTAGGTTTTCAATTTTTACTTTTGGTGAGGGCAGAAAATGCAACAATAATGGCAAAGGGACACAAGATAAGGGCTCTAAACCAGGGGTTCTTAACCTTTTTGACCTCAGGGCCCAATTTGTTGAGCACAAAGTGGCACGAGGCCCAGTCAGACATTACCAATGTATGGATCAACATGATAATTATTCTAATCTAAACTTGGTTTAATTTTTATTGTATTTACATCATAACTAAACTATCATAACTAACATTACTAAATTAAATACAAACATTAAATAGACATTTTTTTATTATAACCTGCCCATAACAATTATTTGAANGTAGCTGTTCCTACTTTAGCAACACAAGGCTGCAAGATAAAGCGCACCGAGTAAAATGTTCWCTGCTGTTGTGAAGGTGAACTGTGCCGCCCCCCCTGTGAGAAYGGGGGCCGCTGCTTAGCCAATGAGAAAGGAGACTGGAGGTGCTACTGCTGGCCTGACTTTTCCGGGGAGCGCTGCGAGGTCAACCACTGCACAGACTACTGCTTAAATGGAGGCACCTGCCTGGGTTCACCGCTGGGTGAGTGCGTCGTCAGTAAACTTCTGGGACATTTCTATTCAAATATTCCTGTTAATCTCTGCAGGGTTGCAGACATTGCAGTGCATTTCTTGTTTGTCTGCTCCCACTGAATGCTGCTAAGTATTCATATAAACATGCACTTGTTATGCATTTATGATGCTATTATTGCATGCATGAATATACTGTTATCAATGGCAATTCTGCAGTGGACTCATTCTCAATGTCAGTTTTGTTTTAACATGGGCTGCCTAATATTATCTGCATACTGATTCAGTGTAAGATAGCATAGCATTCAGGCTCATTTATCTTCCTCTAACTGTCCACATTTTCCTCTTTGCAGTTTGCATTAGCAGATTTGCATCTACCCCTTCACCTGTTCTGTTTGTTGGTACCTTTTTTGAACAAGTCTCCAATATTTTTGAAATCTTGTGTTTTACTATTTATACACTTATAGGTTTTCAGTGAGTTTTATTAAAAAAAAAGTTATGGACATAGTTTATTTTCAGTATTGGCAAAGTGGATTAGGGCTGTAATCCCTTAATAAAGATGATGATGCAAGCATGTTAACCACTATGTTAATCTAGCAATCACAAAAAATATATATCAAGTAAGCAAGAAAAAAAAACATACAAAACTAAACTGAATTGATTCAAGAAAAAAACTACAATTCATCAAAATATGTATCCAGTAGGAAAAAAGTGATACTTTTTTCTTAATATGTTTTTTTTTCTTGCTTACTTGATATATATTTTTTGTGATTGCTAGATTAACAT